GGTGCGTTAGCCTTTGTCCATAAGTTTTGTTGATTTAGGACAAATTTAGGATTCGTTCTTTAATCGTGAAGCAGGCCCAAAATATGTTTATGTTAAGCAATATGACTCATATGACTTATTTAAATGCTGCATATTTCCCCAGCAAGTGAAGCAAAGCAACAACCCCATAATGCCGCAAACTACTCAATACGCAATCAGCTTGCATAGTACTTTTTGGCAGCTGGTAGTAGTGCATGCTGTTTGCACTCAAAGGTTGCTGTCTTTCATTTGAAGATATTTGAAGAATTATTCGATCACTTCTCATCTTACTCGCAATAATCGATTTCCCGCTGATCTTTATAGGATGTGTTCGTCGTTTCTTTGGCTACATTTCCTGCCCCTCCAAGGCATCCTGACATGATACCCATGTAGACTCACCAAAACTATTTTACATCGCCTAGTGAGGTGATGTCAAAAGCAAACGACAAACACTGATGAAGGCCGATGGGACACTCATTCTACTAAATAGCAATAATCATATCACTATGAAAGTCGCGAATTTCAGCCAGTAATATCGATGTGAGTGCAGCAAAAACTCCTTGTCCGTCCTTGGGCAAACGAAACCAGATAAATCTATTGAGTAGACTGGAAACACAAAACTATAGAACTCATTTAATTTTCGCGGCGAATATTTCTGCTTGCAACCGGGTTTCTATTGCCATTTCAAATCCTAATTTAAAACAATATAGATCGATATAGCAAGTTGGATTTCGCACTGAGGGACAGATTGCAAACATGTTTCCACAATTTTCAGAAAACAAAAAACATGGTAAATGTAAAAATATATATACTACATATATATATATAATAGAAATTAAACTTAATATAATATATATATAATATATATAGATATATATATATATACAATATATATATACATACAATATATATATATATATATATTTATGAATGTATTGAAGTTGTGTGATGTTGTTTATGTGCTTGCTTTTGTGTTTGTAAGAGGTTGCTTCATGCACGGCCATCCAGTAAACAACTTGTTGCTGGATATGAAAACATCAGTCTTTCAGAACGCACCAGCTGTGTTTTGCTCCACAAGGTACATATTCACTTGAAACAAATCACGGAAAATAACCCATGGTATTTTTGCACACTCCTATATACGCATTACAATTTTGCCCACGCTTGAGAACTCCCACCGTAAGGCGATTCGATATATATACCCCTGGAATACCTAGCGATTCATGTTCAAATCAGAGAGTTGCCAAGAATTCAGACCGCTTCTCCATGAACTCCCGATTCGCGTGATTATGTTCCCACCGTTTCCGAAGTAGGTCTACAAAGGTGGTTCTAGGAGGGGCGATGAGAAGTTGGAGATCACAAGATTGCAGAGTGACGTCATGACTTTTTGAGTCATGCAGCTGTCACGCAAGAGATAGGTAGATGAGAACATGGGTGCAATCACACGTCTGCGAAACAATATTGCTGCGCAGCTCTGATTTTACTGTCAAAGGTTTCACCGGCAGTATAATTGCTAATCATTTGCTTTTCATTAGAATAATAGAATACATGCGATCACTGGACCTCTGGATACTCAGGGTTTCTTTCACACTGTTCGATACTACAAATACCAAGGACAAACAACGATCATCACTGCTGTGAACCATGGCTGCACTGCCGGAACCCAACCGCGACATCCAGAGCTCAGTGGGCACTGCCGGACCCACAAAGGTCCAGAGCTCAGCTGGGCATCGCAGGACCCCAACCGCGACATCCAGAGCTCAGTAGGCACTGCCGGACTCCAACCGCGACATCCAGGGCTCAGTGGCACTTCCGGACCCCAAGCGGGAAGTCCAGAGCTCAGCCGGACCCAACCGCGACATCCAGAGCTCAGTGGGCACTGCCGGACCCCAACCGCAAGATCCAGAGCTCAATGGGCATTGCCGGACCCCAAGCGGGAAGTCCAGAGCTCAGTGGGCACTGCCGGACCCCAACCGCGACATCCAGAGCTCAGTGGACCCCAAACCACGACATCCAAACCTCAATGGGCACTGCCGGGCCCCAAGCGGGAAGTCCAGAGCTCAGTGGTCACTGCCGGACCCCAAGCGGGAGGTCCAGAGCTCAGCCGGACCCAACCGCGACATCCAAACCTCAATGGGCACTGCCGGACCCCAACCGCAAGATCCAGAGCTCAATGGGCATTGCCGGACCCCAAGCGGGAAGTCCAGAGCTCAGTGGGCACTGCCGGACCCCAACCGCGACATCCAGAGCTCAGTGGACCCCAACCGCAACATCCAGAGCTCAGTGGGCACTGCCGGACCCCAAGCGGGAGGTCACTGCCGGACCCCAAGTGCGACATCTAGAGCTCAGTGCGCACTTCCGGACCCCAACCGGGACATCCAGATCTCCATGGGGCTCATGTCAAATACAATAGCATGCCAGAAAGAATGCCAAAAAGAATGCGAGATAGAATGGCAGAAAAGAATGTCAGAATGGAATAGAATGTCAGAACATATATGCCATATATATATATACACTTCCAGATGAGATGTCAGAAACTATGACAAAATAATGTCATGGTGCGGATCACTCGAAGTAAAGTAAAAGTAATTCATGTTTTGAAAAATAAACCGATTTTGGTACCCTTTTCAGACAAACCCAAAGTATGAAGCACCACTGCTACAGGTGCCTCGACACCTGTACTCCAGCTCTTGGCCAAGCATCACCATCTGCTCAACCTCTGAGCTTTGATTAAAGGAATGCTCCTTACCTTGGAGAAATGGGACGCTTCTTTTAACTGGATGATACGCGGAACAACTTCGCTCACCCTGGAGGATTCCCTGCAAGTCGATTCCTGCTCACCAGTCATACCAGTGAGTCATACCATTTTCCATTGAGAATCATCAATGCTTTGGTGAAACAGCACCAACGGTGGATGGCCAGTGGTAATGTCAACATAGGATTGATAAACTCACCAGTCCATTGAATTTATGGGTTCCAAAAAATACTGGAAATTGACCCAATAAATTGTGGGTTTACAAATCCTGGATTCACATTAGGGCCTGAAAATATGATACCCCAAATTGCTGATCACCATTTTCCAGCCTTCAAATTGTATTTCCTAGATATTCCCAATCATGGTTGGTTTTAAAATATATATATATATACATACATACATAGAGCCACATCTTTACTTAGTGTCAAATCATCCAATACAACACAATATAAACATCCATTTGCACAATCCAATATATAAATGGTATGAATATTCCATGTGTTCTCACGCAATAAAGGGTTAAATCCGGCAAGGAAGTTTTTTAATCATCAAAAAATTGGGATTCGGGATATATTATTTTCAAACAAGCCGTTTGGTCAACAACACCAAACAAACCAATAAACATCCGCATTTGTTGGTTCAATCCCATTTGTGTTTTATACCAAAATGTGTCGGTTAAATCATCAGCAATGTGTTGATACGCATAGCTCATAAGAATCCCAAAAAAAAACAAACATCTAAATCTACATCTGCATGTCATCAATCTCCCAGGCGTTTTCCCCCAATAAATGCATAACACCTCCCCCAAAAGAACCCAATCGATCCACATCCAAGTGACACGTGGTGTCCGATGTGGCGCTCAGAGCGCCCGCGGGGCTCCCCACCACCGACCTGCAAGGAGGAAGCAACGGGTAAGGGATGGGATGGGGGTCCGGGGGTGTTTGGGAAAATAAACCTGAAATAACTGGGAAACAAACACATGTACAAAACATCTGCTTGGACAAATCCACCTGGACCTGTTTTTTTTTCCAGGAAACAGATGGTGTAACATAAGTTTCTTTGAATGTCTCAGGTTTTGTTGGTCATTGTGCCGTGGTACCAGTTGAGGCCACCCTGTGTTTCACAGCATTCAGTTGGTTTGAGACCACATGACTCCAATAAATTTGAGCATGGAATAGTGAACAACATTCCTTTTCTGTCTTTTCAAAATGTCTAGAGTCTAGATTAGTCAGGGATGTCAGGGGGTGTGAGGATGTCTTAAACCACTGTCTCTGTCTCTGTCTGTCTGTCTCTCTCTCTCTCTCTATTTCTCTCAAGATCATTGCAAACCTACGTATCATAAGGTCAGAACCTATCCTTTGGTTTGACTAATTGCAAGCTCATAAACCCGCTTGTAGAGTGGAATTAGTCTCCTCGTACCATTGGGGAGCCCATAGCATAGGGTCAGCAAAGTATACCATGTCAAGATCACCCATGCAGGGAGCATCTCCAACCTGCCAACATTCTTCCCGAAATGGCTACAGCATATAAATTAAAGGGAATGTTCTGTGGCAATTTAATGCTGTTTGAACTCCCAAGGCATTGATACAAATAGGATCAAATACAATACCATTCCCTGAAACCAGCATCGACCCTGTCAAATACATGGTCGGAAGACTAATAACTAACCTTTACAACATAAATGACATAAACATTGGCTTATCCCAGGGTTGAACTATGTTGAACTGTTAATTGAAAGTATGGCCATCATCAGTTTTGCCATTTTTCTGCTGCCAAGGCACGAGGAGAGAAATACGGAGTCGTGTTGAACCCTCCCTGGAAAAATGCCCATTTGGCACCTCCAATGAAATTCAAACACTACCGGCAATGTGAAACATGGGAAAAGCAAACAAGAGCACCAAAAATAACACACATATTACATGGTTAGTTATAATAAAAAATAACTATACTAATTAACTACCTTGCACATATCCCTATTATCCCCATCACCCATCATATCCTTAGTAGATCCCCAGCTGAGGGCTGACCTCAAGTCTTGTCGCGTTGCCAGCTGATCTCTTAGCTCCACCTGACACGACATTTGTGCCAAATACATTCATGTGTAGAACTGTATCACTGTATCTGACATAGCTATAGTTTAACTCTACCAATTCCAAGTCGATTACATATTCATATTTAAATTCTGTACATATGTATATCTTTGGGTCTGCCTCGTGACACTAACAGTGACCGCAATTCATACCACAAAAAACACACAAGAAAAACCAGGTTGTAGTCCCCAATATGACTTTCATTACCCTTATTAAGGCTAGATGACCAATCATATTCCCTGCAAGTTGTCTCCACGGTCGGCACATTTTGTTGCCATGCCCAGAAGTCCTTGCTGTCAAAAATCGACATTGGCATTTCCAATGGGATGCCTCATGCATCCAGCTTGTCAGCACCTTGTGGGTAGTGATGCTGCTGATTGCAAAGCAATACTGTTTAGGGTTTTGGATGCTGCCCATGGCAGCGCTGATGGCAAAGCAACTGTTTAGGGTTTAGGATGCTGCCCACCACAGTGCCGATGGCAAAGTAGTGCTGTTAGGTTTTAGGATGTTGCCCATCGCAGCGCCGATAGCAAAACAATAGAATGTGTGTGTGCAATACATATAAAGGCCGGGGCTGCTGGACTGACCCTGGGCAAGGCCTGGGGGCTGAGCCTGGGGGCTGGGGAGCGCTGGGGGGCTACACGGCTGGCTGGCTGAGGGGGGGGCTGGAGCTGGGCCAGGCTGGCTACTTGAAAATGCTTTAAAAGCAGCGACTTTCCAAAAGCAGGAAAAAATTTAAAAAAACAGACAACACAGAAAAACAGCAGAAACTGAAGCAGAAAAAAACGGAAAATTACTCTTTTTTTTTGTGTGTTTTTTTTGTGGTATGAATTGTGTTGTTTTTTGTGTTTTTTTTGGTGCTTTTGTGGGTGGTTTCCGGCAATTGAAAGCAAATTAAACACTATTTAGTCACTATTTTCCTTTCACAATTTCAAGGACGAACGGGCTGAAAACGCGCATGATTTGTGGTTTTTCTTGTGCTTTTCGTGGTATGAATTATTTTTTTTCTTGTGCTTTTTTTGTGATATGAATTGTCGTTTTTTTGTGGTATGAATTGTTGTTTTTTCTGTGTTTTTTTCTGGTATGAATTGTGTTTGTTTTTTTTGTGGTATGAACTGTGTTTTTTTTGTGTGCTTTTTTGTGCTTTTTTTTGTGGTCGGGAGCGCCGGAAAAGCACAAAAAAAAGCACCAAAAAAAAAAACACAAAAAAAGCACGAAAAAAGCACAACAAAAATCAGCATTTCTTTGGAAAAAATGAATCTCAGGCCTCCTGCCTTCGACAGCCTTCGGACCAGCGGCCCAGCAAATGTCTCACACCATGTCCTTTTTCCAACCTCCTTTCCAAAAACAACTCTCAGGAGTGAGCCCATGCCAGGAGCGGGAATGTGAAAACATGTAATTATCATATGATGTTTATTAAGAACCTCAACAACTATTGTTGGAGGCACGCCTTTGTAACGCTTTTCACTTATAACTTACAATGGTTGGACCGCTTGATTGCAGTATCTCGGTATCTCAGGTATGCTGCGTTCAATATCGTAAAGAATGTCATGAGTCATAGTATCGTATCACCATATCGATGCAACACCTTGCATCATCATACCATATCATTGCCATTGCTATTTGACACACAAATATTCAAATAAACAAAGTGATGTCAGCTGTCAGACTTCCCAGAACCATTCCAACTTTCCAACCATCAAAGGATATCAACAGCAACATCGATACTTTGATTTTGGCTATATAGTTGATGACAAGTTCAGCAAACATGTCCTGATGGCTCCAACAATATGGCGCAATACAAACGGATGTTCGTTAAAATGATTTAAATGGTTTAACCACAAACAATGCCACCTCAAAGGTAGTGATGTTGTTGCATTCACTACTCCACCCTTTGTTACTTGTACGACCCACCTAGATCACATTTTCTCCTAAGCAGACCCCAAGGATCCCCTAAAATGGCCTGCGTTACCACCAATATGATTGTGCTTTTTTGGTATGTGGTTTATGAAGGGGGGGCAGTTTTGAACTGTTAGTGGGCGGGGGCAGACCCAAATGTATATCTATTTCGAGATCCTCAACATTTTCCTTGCAGCAGAAGGCGCACCTGGGATCGCACCATCTCCGAGATCTCGGCGTGTTGATGATCCACCTGGCGCCCTAGGTCCAAGAGCTGCGCAGAGCGGGCGTTCTTCTCCAAGTCCACCAGCTCGACGAGGCGATCCTCCGTCAACCTCCAACGGATATATGGGGATGGGTCAAAACCCTGGTACCCCTGTAGTTCACATCAAAATAGCCGGGATTTATGGATGTGAATAACCCCCTAAAAATGGTATGTATAGGTATTGATCCATACCCATATGGAAGAAGTATAGCAACATCTAAGATGGTCAACTCATATTATATCATATGATCATCACTTATTATCACATATTAGGCACTTTGAAAGAATAATATACACCGGGAAAAGTGCATGGCTCAAAAAACAACTAAATAGCGACAGTAGATGGCGCAGCCTGACCATAAAATCGAAATTTGTGATTTTGTGTTATATATGGCACGACCCCGAATATCATCGCTATTTTTGGTAAATAGCGGTTGCTTTCATAGTCTTGTGGTTTTCTGTGACTTTCCCAACTCTTGTTCCACAAATTTTGCGCCAGGGCTACTGCAGGTGGAGCTGTCAGCTTCAAATTCAATGCAGCCATATTCAGAGCCCTGCCCACTAGCTCATTGGATCGATTTAACGCACGATCACACGCACACACACACAAACAATGCACTGTAGATGGCGCAATTCACTTTGGGAGACGTAAAATACACACAGCGAGCTTCAAATAGCAGTTTACCAGGCAAAACTCGCCGATCATATCCACACGCACATATATACACACAGATCATGCACTGTAGATGGCGCAATTCACCCTAAAATCATAATATGCACGCACATGCACACACACACACACAAACCTTTCCCTTTTCCCTTTTTTCTTTTTTCTTTATCCTTTCTCGTTTCTCCTTTCCCTTCCCCTTTCCCTTCACCTCTCTCCTTTCTCCTTTCCTTTTCCCCTTTTCCTTTCCCTATGGATTGCAATCGTAACCTATAGATGGCGCAATCCTCAAAGCCTTGGTTTCCCCAAAAAATGGACCCCAATTTCATTGCCATCTTAATAGATTTAATAGTGAGGTAAACTAAATTTGAGGAAAACATGTTGTTGTCAACCACATGTGTTGGGAACCTATAGATTCTATAGATGGCTCAATTCAAGAATTCAAGACTTCGGAGTACAGGGTAATTTGAAGATCTGATAGTTGAACCTTGTGATGTTGAAGCGTCTGATTCATCTGATTCATCACCCCTCCCAGAGCTGTGCCGGTGCCTCAAATCCGCCTGCATCCTCTCCGTTACTTGGTCGATCGCTTTGGTGAAGGACAATTGAAGCTCCTGAAGCTTCTGTTCGCAATAGTCCTCAGCTTTCTGGCCCAATACCCCCAAAAAGACACGGAGAATATGGAAGAAATGGCATGAATGTATGTATGTTTCGCGGCCTCCACAGCCCTTCTTGTTTACAAAATGTTATGTTTAAGAAAAACACTTGGAAAGCGTGGCCCAGTCCCGAAGCACATCCAAACGACACAGAACAAAAGTCAATACAGGATACATTTCGAAAGCGTTAAATATGCTAATATTATACACATGTGTTATAAGGAGGTTTCCGCCTAAAAGGATGGTATCCCCAAATCATCCAAATTAGACCACCCTAATATCGAAATCCATTGGTGACTCGGGGATCCCCCATGTCTTAAGAAATCCCAATAAAACTGTGGTTTTTCAGTTAAGCAATGCGTCTGACCACCAGAGTCGTTCAGCTCCGACTTCATCCTCAGTCCTACGACTGGGCGATGGCCGTGAAGAGACCACTGGCGATGGCCCTGAAGAGACCACTGGGGTCGATGAGGCCGCCCTCAACACCACTGGGCCTTCGGCGTAGCGGCTGCTGACGACGGCCGGGCGGCCATCCGAACGCATGGCGGACACCAATGGCGGACTGGAAATGGTTCTTGTACCAATAAGTTTCAAGTGGATTCGTATAACATGCAATGACTGTTGATGAATGGAAGACCATGTGTTCACCTTGTGTTTGTGCCTGTTGCACTGACTCCTCATCAGACGAGCCAAAAACGACAAAGGATTTTTTGCTTCATGCCAACTCCCAAAGATTCTAAAACTCAAAGTGCCGCAATTCAATTTTCGTCCAAGTCCAAGCAGCATGGCAATATTTGCCAGAAGGCAAACGCTGAATGTTGGGATATATGTTTGGATCGGCGGATATCAACCCGTGGGTCATTCAAAGCAAACCAAACCAATCTGAACCCCAACAATTTTCAAACCTGGTTCGGGTTGATATTTTTTGACATCAAGTTGATCTATACCTCTAGCTACCCATAATTAAAACAGTTGGTCGCACAGTCATGGTTCACCATTCCCGCCCAGTCCCACTTCCTAATTTTTGGCACACCTCAGCGCCATTTGGGCAGGGCCACATCTGCCATCTCCTGGAAGGCGCATAGAGGACATGCATCGATCAAAACCCCCCTCTGACTGTAAGAACATGTAGTAGCTTCGGACCCTCTAGTTCAAGACATCAAAAAAATCCAATAAGATCAGCGCTTTGAAACATTAAGGTGTTGTTATACGCTTTCACTCCACATGTGCGCTCCAATGTGAACCACGTTGTGGATCAAGGCCATTTCGTTTCAAGATCACTACGCGCGCTCCGGCAGGCCCAAATCTGCACCTATATCTGGACCTGGTCTTGCACTTTTACAGTTTCAAGGTGCTTTGGTGTGTTCCAGTTTGGAATAAAATTGTCAAAGGACCAGCCCACATTCAAGCCGAAATGGCTTTTTGTTTAACATATCCCACGCTCTTCATCCTACAGGGTGGGTGGAACAAATCTAAAATTTCAGTGGGTGACCCCCCCTTTTATTCCAGCAGGTAGTGGTTTGTGACCGGGTGGTGATAGAAAGTCTGACAGTCTGACAGTAGAATGATTGGCACGATCAGCTTTCAACTCTTGCTCTTATCAGCGGGTTTTTTCCTTGTTTGCATCCAGATTGGCAGGTTGCTATGCAAGCCACCGAGTCGGACGGTTCCATGTCATTTCAATCCGTGCCCACAATCCGTCCCACCCCATTATATCAACAGGATCCATAGTTTTCATTATTTTTCATTATTTTTCCATTTCTGTACATCCAGCTGCCAATCTGATATTTTCTATGTAGTGAAATGTAGTAACCTGAGATTAACACGGCATTCCAATGTTAGTAGTTGAATCTATGATATCTATGGGATTCCTTTTCGGCCCCGTCACCTTCCAGCCGCAGCTGGCTCCGCTGGCAATGTTGGCAACCCACTTCTTCCAAGAAAAAGTGAAAGAACACACTGGTTTTTATTAGCTCGGTGGTTATGGCGGCGTCCCTCTTCCGACCGGTCCTGGGCTCGATACCCGGGAGCAACACCGAGTTAGACAGGCGGTCAGTTAATCCCTCTCTGCAGTCCGGAAACGGAGAGCCAGGCTCAGAGTAAGCCAGGTTGCTGATCGATAACCGAAAGCAAATCAAAAAACAAACAAACGGTGTGTCTCCCGATTTTTTTTTACTTTAACGGGGGCAGGTTCATATACCCATAGGATCCATGTATGCTATATATGCTAACATTGGGGATATATTGATGGTAAATGTTACCATATATAGCATACATGGATCCTATGGGATATTATTAAACTCTACAGCTATAGCCTCCAGCAAAAGTCGCCTGGCCTCAATTTTCTTGTATGCCACCATAGCGCAGCCGTTGGCCACCTGAACAGCCAGAAAGTCATGGGAGAAAGCCGAGAAATCAACCATCCCAAGCCGAAAACTATCAAACAGAGTCACCACTTAAACTGAAAACGTGTGTATAATTGTGCATACACACACGCACACACACAGATATATATATATATATATATATATATCACATATGTATAATATTGTGATATATCGCATATGTGCATATATATATACATTATATTGTGTGTATATATATTTATTTATCACATATAAATATATATTGTGATATATCGCATTTATGTATATATATATATATATAAATATATTATATTGCGTGTATATATATATATATCACACACACACATATATATATATGTATATATATATAAATTATATAATTTGGCCGCCCTTGTTGAGTTTCTACCAAAACAGGTTTCATTTTGCAGCGTTATGACATGTTCTGACTCTATATCTACCCACATCCCGGATGCAAAGCATCCCAACAAGCACGGCACCGTAGAACGCCCCAAGCCCGGTAGCAGGCCGCGGTAGAGGTGGTGAGTCTGCGCAGCCTCCCGCAACAAAGAGATGCTGCTCCTCTGCAAGGCCATGGAGATTTCAAGGGATGTCGGGCATGATATGGTATATAACTGGATGGTATAAATATAGTACTATTATTATTTAGTATTACTATTATATATATATATATTAACTATATGGTATATATATATATAACTGGATGGTATTATTATATATAGCATTAATAGCTGGATGGTATATATGGTATTCTATGGTAACATTTACCATCAACATACCCCAAATGTTAGCATATATATATATTATATACCATATATATATAAACTGGTTGGTGGTATACCTACCCCTCTGAAAAATATGAGTCAGTTGGGATAATTATTCCCAATATATGGAAAAATAAAAAGAAATCCAAACCACCAATCAGATATAGTATTAATAACTGGATGGCGGTTTTAACAAACCAATCTTGACACCTTTTAGGTAGCCCCCAAACCCTAGAAATATTAGGGTCATCTCATGTCATTTCAACCGTCCCCGTCCTGCTGGTATGGGACTGAAACACGCTTGGTTATAGCCAGATTCACAGTTCAAACACTAGTTAAGGAAACCATGAAAAAACACAGCAGCACTAGTAAAAAAGGCGCTTGAGTTAAAAGCCATTCCAAGATAGGCTCGTTGGGAATTCAGGGATGACTAACAAAGCTCTGGGGTTTACAGCTGTTGGGTCTCAGCAGTGTCGTTAACTTTCACCTTGCCCTCGTAGATCCCGTCGATTTGTTAAGTCTGGCTGTGTCCTGCTGGTAGGTGATGTGGGTTTACACCATCCAGAAGATCGATGGATCTGGATCCGTGTTTCTCGCAAAAAAGAAAAATATGAAAACAACTTTACCAATAATTAGAAACATATAGACATAAAACTTATATATATATATATAATATAATATAATATCTATATATTTATATAACTATATATATACATATCATATACAACCATATATTGTAGAATCCACTTCCCAGTTCCCAACGCACATGATTTGAAGAATCCTCGACTCATAGTTGCCGCTCTGCCGCTGACTTTTAATCACATCCTGGGGCTTTCGCAAGGTGGCAAGCTGAATTTGAAACGGTAGCATTGTCAGACCAATCAGCACGGTGAGATGAGTAGGGCTGCACTTGATCCAGGATTTTCTGTACTATAGTGATATGCACTATGAAACTTAAGCCTAGATTTCCAGAGCATTGTCATCTGACACACTTCTGCGTGCAAACCAGGTTCACCTTCTCATTCAACCCAAAATTTGTTCGCTTTCAAGCATATTCGAACTGGGCTACATGGCATGGATTGCAGAATGAGGTTCCAATGGCCAAACAGTGAGCCATGCAAGGTTCGAGCAAATGGCACCCATCCAGAAAGGCGAAATGTCACCTGGCACCACTGGACATGCTTCGAAACCAATATCTGTGCTTGGTCGTCCCGATGCTCCAAATTGTGAGGTTTGAAATGTTTGAACATGTTTGACATATGTTTGATCATATTCAAATCGATTCTCAAATCACCAAAATATGTTTTTGACATTTTTTTACATGCTCATGTATAGAATGTGGTTGCTCCTTGGCAATCCAACATTGGCACTGCCAACTGGACGAGTACTATCGAGTACTGCTAGGCGTCCATCCCCCAAAACGAGTCATGCTTGGGATGTGAGCAAAGAAATAAGGACTAAGGCTGGTTTCATTCTCTATTGCATCCCTAAACCCCAAAGTATTCAAACGTGTTGTTGAGATTTGTTGAGAACATGTCCATCTGTATCGGTTAAAACGCACACCTTTGGTTGCTTCATATTTGTTGGATCTATTTAAATTACATATGGGCATGTCTGAACATAGGCAAAATCCCATGGTTGATCATCATGTTTCCTCTTTGAATTGCCATGTGGGGATAGTTACCAGTTACCATTTTCAGACGTATCCAAATCATATTTTTTTCAGTTCGCTCTATATCCCATTATATCACTATGTCCCCCTAAAAGTCCCATTAAATCCCTTTTTGTTGATGGTGGACTCCCCATTTTCGGAATGCAACCGGAACCCGGTTGCCCCCCGGGTAACCTGAAACGAAATTCGGCAGCAAATCACCTGGACGGCCAGGGGTAAACAGCGCTTCCACGGTGCCAAAAGATAGCAGTGGAGACCCATCAATGGTTTGTTTCTGCATAATCTATTGCAATACAAACATAGGAAGGGAAATTGGCTTTCACCATCCAACTGTTTGACGTATTATGTCATTGAAAGAGTTGCGGTGTTGTAGAAACGGATTCGCCTGGATTCGCTTGGATTTGCTATGATTTGGCGGCATGATGGTCCACTAGATTGGGCACTTGGATAGTTGACCCACACCTGACAGCCCGGCAGGGCCCGGCAGCATGCTCCGAGGCACGGTAAATCGAGAAGGAGCAGAACAGCGCAGTGTTGCGCAGAATTGTAACCCCAGAACCCTGAAAGAGTGTCCTGCGGCCGGGCATGGCGCCGGCAAAGTTTGCAAACACTTGCTTTGTTGTTTGCAAAGGTCACTTTAGGCAGAGTCCATGTTTCAATATGTCTCATGTTTCAGTGAACTGATGGAGAGCACCAGGCAACAAATCATCAATGGCAATTCAAACATCCCAGAATCAATCCGTGAATAAAAAAGAACCACGGTAAATAGAATCGGATAGAAGAGGGGAATGACCAAAAAAGATTCGAAGCCGCAAACTCTACAGCAGTTTCCCACAAGTGCCTTACACTCCATGAATGCTCCACTTGGCGGCAAACCTTCACTTGATCAAAGGGAGCCTGGCAAAGGCTCCGGTCCCGGATGATTTGTTACGGAAAGTGCGGACAACTGTGGAAAACCAGGGGACTCAAACCACGAAGAGGTTCTACTACGTCACCAAGTTTTCAGCAATGCTATTTTTCCGACAAAGTGTTTCAATCTAGTTGAAGTTGCACCAAGCTGTTCTGGCACCAAGTTGACCGCTGACCCGAGAACACTGAAAAACCTCGATGACGCCACGTGCAATGCCCCCAACGCAACCAGCAACTGCCACTTGCCTCGGATCTGATCATCCAAAGAGCTGGAGCACATATTGGAGCACCATCCCATCTTCTGTCACAATCATATGATGTCTGATAACTACAAGCCGTTTGGATCATCACGAGTTGAATGCCCATGTATCCGCAGGAATTGGTGATGGTCAATGTCTATGACTTCCAGGAAATGTTTCAGGCAGGTTGCCAATCCAAGAACCCCAGGAATTTATATGAAGGCGTTGTTCTGCGCAGCCTCCTGCACAGGCCAGATGTGAGCACGTCAGTACTTGGATCTTCTTGGTGCAAGAGTTTTATTCTCTACTCAGGCTAGTAGTATGTTCGATTCTGCTAGGTTCGATTCGTTCACCGAAGACTGGCCGGACACACACACACAGACGCATGCACGCACGCACGCACCCACCCACCCACGCACACACGCACGCACGCACTCCAAGCGGTTTCAGCATGCACTCACAAGGTCTGTCAGCCCAAGTTGTCAACATATCAAACAGCACATCTTGATTCTTCACACTACATTCAATGCCAGGGGTGTCCACCGCCTTTCGTGAGTTGAGTTGTGGCCCATATCAATGTTTGCCATATTTGCCATGCCTTCTGAGACCGAAATACATGTCCGTTGTCCAAAGATGTCCAAAGCAACATACCTGCAGTACAATATGCTATGGTGCATCTTCTGCTGAAACCTGCACGACAGTCAAATAAATAACACGGCATTCACACACACAATGGATACAAATGGGGGAAAATAAAACGCACTTTTTCCCCACATGCCAGGTGAGGGTTGTTAGATTTTATCAGAGCTGTTGCCCTCCTCCTCCTCCGCCTCCTCCTCCGCTTCGTCCTCGTCCTCCTCCGCCTCCTCCTCCTCCAGTTTCTCCTCGACCATGTCTGCATCAACTTTCACCTCCACTTCCGCCTTGCCAACTCTTCGCCAGCTCTTCGCCAACTTCCGAGCTCAGTGCGCACTGCTGGACCTCAACCTGGGACCTTCCCAGCTCAGTGCGCACTGCTGGACCTCAACCTGGGACCTTCCCAGCTCAGTGTGCACTGCTGGACCTCAACCTGGGACCTTCCCAGCTCAGTGTACACCGCTGGACCTTAACCTGGGACCTTCCCAGCTCAGTGTGCACCGCTGGACCTCAACCTGGGACCTTCCCAGCTCAGTGTGCACCGCTGGACCTCAACGGCCAGATAGAATGCCAGAAGATATTCCAGATAGAGTGCCAGAAGATATGCCAGATAAAGTACCAGAATGTTTGCCAGATAGAATGCCAGAAGACTTGAGTAGATAATATGCCAGAAGATATGCCAGATAGAATGCCAGAAGATATGCCAGATAGAATGCCAGAAGATATGTCAGATAGAATGCCAGAAGATTTGCCAGACTTTGCCAGCAACAAAATGTATAAATGTCATGGTGGGGATCACACGAAGTAAAGTAATTTTAAGAAGTGATCTTCACCATCTTCCACTTGGTACTAGTGTTTGGCCCTTTCTTCGTTCACTCGTTCAATGGCACGTTCATTTTCAAGCAGTCAAGGCGGTAGCCCGGCAACTCGGTCCCGAGGGCAGCTTCGTAGAAGCCAAACTGTGCTGAGCGAAACATGGTGCCGCCCAGAACAACTGGAAGACCTCCTGTGGCGACATGCAAGATACGCAAGGCTGGATGGAGATAATCTGAGATAAGGTTTGCATAGGTTTGCTGCATAGCATGCTGGCCCAACATTTTGGTGAGATTCTCCGCACGACATTGACACATGATTCACATGATTCATCCTATCGGCGCTTCAATCCAGCAGCAGAGTGCCGATTGTTTTGCGTTGACCGTTGACCATCCGCCCCCAAGGCAGTGAGGGCCATGGGACACAGCTCCTCGATACAGGCCTTGAGGCCCCTGACGGCGTAGCACATCCCAAGCCACCCGCCATGCACTGGAAGAAACGGAGTCTGGTCGTGCCTGCCTTGGTCGAGTCTGGGCCAGATTTAGGTCCATACGCTCCATGTAATATGCTCCATGTATATATTCCATGTATGGCATAGCCTCCAGTAAACTCGCATAGCTACGGAAAACCACGATTTTCAGTTGGGGAATCATCTAGTGGGTGATGTTCCACTATGTTGGTTTACCAAAGGGTGGTCACCTATACTGTACTCCATCGAGCATTTGGGATGTCGTGTTTTCAAAAATGTCTTTGTTGATGTTTCACCCAAAAAATGGTGCAAGCACAAGACTTGGATCCATCTCAACTATCCTTTCAGATCTGAAGGACTAAGATTTTTGGATATTTTTGGGTTGCTATAGGGATTTCTTCAAGCTCGCAGGATCATCTTGAGCCAACATCACTTGGATTTGTCAGCTCCGCAGCATCTTTCACGAGCATTGTTCGAGCTCGGGCTCTGAGGTGAAACGGTGACACCTCTGGGCCAAGGCAGCTATAATGCCCGCGGGTGACCCAGGTATGTAGCTACCCCAGGCCTCTTCACCATGCGTTCAAACTTCATAACCAATGTCTCTCAGATCAAATAGGTCCAATGACATAAGATAGCTAAGATAGTGGGTAATACTGTATATATGGGACGAAAAAGGTGTATTATAATGATCGTCGATTCTTGATAAAATATGGGTCCTTCGCCCAAGTTCGATCCTTTTTTGTTGCCATATTTGAGGGGACTGCACATCAATTTACCACCTGTCTTTTCATATTTGGGGTACCCAAGTTTTGATCCACGAATCCACAGCAATGTCCCAATGGGATCCATTCTGTGCTTCTGTGGTATGGTTTGAACGCACGTGCGAGGAACAGCTTGAAACACTAGAATCACTAGAAACGCTTCAGCAACAGGCTCCAATTGAACCTGTTCTGGACCTCTTGCAGCTTTAAACTGGAACAAAAAAATCGAATTCGGGGCGTCACCAAAATGAAGGTGTTGTAGGCCAATATTCCACAGGTGCGACTGGAGATGTCTCTTTGGGCGATGAGACCTGCGCATGCTGTCCTTTTTCGGCCTCCTTTTTTTCGTCCTTCTTCTTCTCCTTTGGGTCGTTCTTCCGAAGTGAGGCGCGGCGGCGGGTGACTCCCTTGTCCATGTACATAGATTGAAACATGTCCTTGGTGGCAAATCAATGGTGGTGATTTACCCACCGGGAGAAAAAAACAACCACCCCGCTTTAAAAAAAGCTTGCGTCTTTTACAATCCCAGGAGTCCCAGGCTGGCTTCACTTTCCTCCGAGCATGACCCGCTTCCATCTCTGGAGATGGAGAGGCACCCACCGAAGCTCCGGAGGGTCTGCGGTTCAATCGGCTGGAATCAAAGGAGTCTTCGGGGCCTACAAGGCGGACCCCGAGAGCGCCGGGCGAAGGAAGAAGCAAACCCTGCCTCAGGCAGAGTCCGCGGGGTTCAGGACCTGGGGATTACGGTTGATGAACAGAGCACCTGAGGATATGTGTAGAAGTCGCAAGTCTGATGATTTGTAGTTGGATTATGTTGGATCAATATGGTTGGGTCACGTAAGTATTAGATACTCGTTAGCCCACCTTGAGTTCCCAAACGCGAAGCACATTCTTGCACTGCAGCCCAAGCCGGCGTTGCGCTTTTCGTAGTGAAATGCCGTAAACACATGTCACATGACTAAACAGCATCTATATAGGTCCCAAATTGACAACTAGAACAACCGCCACTGGCATCAGCTAGTGCCAACCTTCCTGAGGGCAAGTGACCAAAGACGCTCTAGTTTGCCTTCGATCCGTGCCATGCTTTCTTCCAATTTGCCTTCCAGCATCCTGGCCAGATCCCGTCAACAAATCAAGGTTCAGCAAGAAAAGGCTAGATCCCGTCCAGTGATGCAAGACACAACTTTGCTACTTGCAGAACCGGCGGCAAAGTCCACAAGAACATACAATGTTACCAATATTATGCATGACACACTGCTAGCACTTTGATGGACTTTGTTCTCACACTTCTACTCCTTTCCATGTTTTATCCATCATTATTCAACGTCAACAAACCCTGCCTCTGCCCCATGTGGGAAGGCTCCAGCAGGGGAACCTCCCGGGAAGCGTGGGGCATCTCAAGATCTCCCCGCGAAAACTCTCTCTCCAGGCTCAAAAAGGCCTGGTGCTGGGCTCTGGGGCCGTGGCAGTTTGGAAGTTTTGGATGCGGATAAGACATAATAATACACCAAGCACCATGTTTTCTACCACTAAATGACTGAAGTGATGCGGAAATTGGTGAAATGATCCAAAAATGGGTGAATGAACGACATCAAAATCATGCAAGTCAACAAGTTTGGGGTTCGAGGGATGGATCTAGCTAGGCAAATTTAACGAAATGAACCGTTTGAAAGTTTGGAACCCTGCTATTCTCGCAGTTTTTCACAACACATCCCCTAAAAGATCTGAACATTGTAATTCACCGATATCATACACTACATGTACGACATGGAAATTCCATACATACATACATACATACATACATACATACATACATAGGAAATTACATACATACATACATACATACCTACATACATACATACATACACACACACATACATACATACATACATACACACACATGCATGCCTACATACATGCATACATGCATACATGCATACATGCAAACATGCAAACATGCATGCATGCAAACATGCATGCATGCATGCATGCATACATACATACATACAGTACATACATACAGTACATTCATTACATACATTACATACATTACATACATTACATACCTTACATACCTTACATACCTTACACACAATACACACAATACATAAATGACATACATGACACATACATGACACATACATGACATACACAACATACATGACATACATGACATACATGACATACATGACATACACTACATACACTACATACACTACATACATTACATACATTACATACATTACATTCATTACATACATTACATTCATTACATACACTGCATACACTACATACATTACATACATTACTTACATTACATGCATTACATACATAACATACTAACATACATACATACATGCATACATGAATTACATACATACATACATACATACATACATACACACAGACACACGTGCATGCATGAGTACATGCATACATGCAAACACGCAAACATGCAAGCACGCATACATACATACACGAATACATACATACATCCATCCGTACATGCATGCATTACCTACATTACATACATTAGAAACATTACATACATCAAATACGTTACATACATTACATACATTACACACATTACACACATTACACACATTACACACATTACACACATTACACACATTACATACAATACATGCATTACATACATTACATAAATTACATACAATACATGCATTACACACATTACATACATTACATACATTACATACATTACATCCATTGCATCCATTACATACATAACATACATTACATACAATGCATACATTACATACATAATATACTAACATACATGCATGCATACATACATAACATAACATAACATTGCATTGCATCACATTACGTTACATTACATTGCATTGCATCACATTACATTACATTACACTACATTCATTTAATACATACATGCATACATACATGCATACATACATACATACATACATAAATGCATACATACATACATACATACATACATAACTAACATACATACATACATACATGCATGCATGCATACATACATAAACATAACATAGCATTACATTACATTACATTGCATTGCATCACATTACATTACATTACATTACATTGCATTGCATCACATTACATTACATTACATTACACTACATTCATTCAATACATAAATACATACATACATACATGCATACATACATACATACATAAAATACTTACTTACATACATACATACATACATACATACACATACATACATACACCCATACATACATACATATATATATCTATATATATACGTACAAATATCGTGTATATGTTTATATATGTTATAAACAAACCTGAGAAGGGGGGAACGAAAGCCAGCATCCCATCTACCCCTATTTTCCCACTTTTCGCCCAGAGCCTTTCACCCATATACTTCTCACTCATAGACTTTTCACCCAGAGACTCTTCAACCAGAAACTCTTCTTGCACAAACTTTTTACCCAGAAACTTTTCACCCACAGGCTTTTCACCCACATACTTTTCACCCACATACTTCTCACTCATATACTTTTCACCCAAGACTGTACAACCATACACTTTTCACCCACAGACTTTCACCCATACACTTTTCGCCCACAGACGTTTCACCCCAGACTTTGCACCCCAGACTGTTCACCCATACCCGTCTCACCCACATACGTTTCACCCACAGACTTTTCACCCGTATACTTTTCACCGAGGGACTTTTCACCCACAGTCTTTCACCCATATACTTCTCACCCATATACTTTTCACCCGCAGACTGTTCAACCATATACTTTTCACCCACAGACTTTGACCCATAAACTTTTCACCCACAGAATTATCACCCGCAGACTTTTCACCCACAGACTTTTTAGCCACAGACTTTTCACAGGCGAGGGGCCACTTTGGGCAAAAAATCGAGCTCACTTTGGGCATAATTTTTTGAAGTTCACTTTGGGCACAATTTGGGCTCACTTTGAGCATAAATGGGCACACTTTGGGTATAAATAAGCTCTCTTTGGGTTTTAAATGGACTCGCTTTGGGCATAAATGGGCTCACTTTGGGCATAAATGGGATCACTTTGGCATAAATAAGCCCCCTTTGGGTTTTAAATGGACTCACTTTGGGCATAAATGGGATCACTTTGGGCACAAATGGGACAACCAGCCAGCTTCCCAGCTGGCTTTCGTAATATATGTGTATATATATAAATATAATTATAGCGACGGACTGAAACTTAGAATGCCGCACCCTTTCCGGTCGCGCTGTCCTAAAGAATGCCGCCGCGGGGGCAAAATCTTAAAAAACCCTGGTAAAATGCAATTTTCGGGTACCTGTAATTTGACCGGGACTTTTTTTAATGAATCGTTCGTAGGTAATTTTTGTGAGAATTTACAGCGTAATATGAGATTGAGTGCCACACATAGAATGCCTCCGGCCAAAAAGTCCCGGTCGCAGCATGTCAAACATTTGAAGCCCATATTTTCAAAATACTCGGTATACGCGGGGTTTTATGTACTTCGTGCAGCCCACATAGAATGCCGCCAAAAACAAATACAAATGTCATCATTCTGTTGCAAAGGAGAAAGGAAAGGAGAAAGGAAAGGGGAAAGGAAAGGAAAAAGGAAAGAGGAAAGGATTGGTGTGGCATTCTAAGTGTTACAAATGCACCCGGGAGGGACAAAAACCGTCAAGGAAAGCATAATTCATGTAGAAAGCAGCAGAAATCATAAGACACATGCCCCCAAAACCCTTGGACGCATTCTATGTGTAACATTTTTGGCAGCATTCTAAGTGTAAAACCGTCTGGTTGAAAGGAAAGGAGAAAGGAAAGGAGAAAGGAAAGGAGAAAGGAAAGGAGAAAAGAAAGGAGAAAGGAAAGGAGAAAGGAAAGGAAAAAGGAAAGGAAAAAGGAAAGCAAAAAAGGAAAGGAAAAAGGAACGGAGAAAGGAAAGGAGAAAGGAAAGGAGAAAGGAAAGGAGAAAGGAAAGGAGAAAGGAAATGAGAAAGGAAAGGAGAAAGGAAAGGAGAAAGGAAAGGAGAA